ATGTTCAACTTTATTACGAGTAGAAATGGCTCTTCTTTTGCTTTTCCAGATGATCAAATGATTAAAGTAAGTCATTAAGTCATTTGAATCAAGTATCTATCACTTATTCAAAAAGATGACTGTTTTCGATATTTTTATAATTACATAAATGACATACATTGAGCTAAGTTAAATTATTATAAAATAAAACTAGAAAAAAATATATAAAATACTGTATAACATATAAAATACGGTGTAAAACACCGTTTAAAGAAATTGTTCTTATTGTGTTTCTGATCAAAATATCTTTTTAAATACCAAAGATTTTTTGCATTAAAAAGAAAGTTGCAAAAAAAACGCACGATTAGATTAATAAAAATTATGAAGAAATTATATATATGTATATATGTATAGGTATATATAATTGTGAGTCTTACAAGTTTGGTTCTTTAAAATTGTTAAAATAATTTTGTCTAATAATTTAGTTTTTATATTAATTTCATGTACATATATGTGTTAACGTATACTTGAAATGATAAATTGTATATCAATTAGAACATATAAAAAACAATAGCTGCTGTGTATATTATTGGCCTTGAAACTGTTTGATTGAGAACGCAATTTATTGTACCGAACTTCTACTTCAATATTTAGTAGTTTTCTACTCATGCAGTTTATCCTAAAAAGTTCTAATTTTCCATATTGATTACTTTAAATAATAAATAATTTTCTTAAAAATTTTATACAAAAATTAATAAATATAAATATTTGAGAAAAGTTTTAGACATCACAAGAGAATAATGTGAGAATGAGTGTATAAAAAATATGATATATGTTACGTACATGTATGTTTATCAGGTAACAGAAAATATATGGAATGAATAACAAAATCGTTAATATTAAAAATTCTTATTTGTAACAAAATAATTATATCAACATATGTTACGTTTAAGTTTAATTATTCATCCCAATTTAATTTAAATGTGTAACAATATAACATTAATCTGAATATATGACGTAAAATTAAACTTTACTTTCTTTATATCATTAATTTTACATAAATAGTGACATGCAATATTAATATCACAAACAATCTATTGTCTGTAGTATATATAACATTTAATTTAATCACGGCGTCTAATATTAATAATAAAATAATTAACGCTCTCGTCAAGCGATCTAAGTGAGCGACTAGCAGCAGCATCAAAAAACGCTCCGTGTAAAGATGATACCGAATAAATAACCAGGCAAGTAGCAAATAATTCTGCATCCTGCGCACATGCGAGAAAAATTTTTGCTAAAACGCTTGCGACTTTATTTTTCTTTATCAGCAACGTGTAAATGATTTAACGGTAACGACTTCGTCAACCAGAAATTTGTTTTGAATGAAAAACGAAAATCTGGCAATAAAAGAAGCCAGCGACAAGCGTCAAAAATAGCATCGTGTAGAGCATTTTTCACACACCGCAATTTCACAATTTTAAACGATAGCGAATAAAAAACGAACATCTGAAAAAATTTTTATCACCGAATTCTCTGACGAATTAAAAAGCTTACTTAAAGCGAATAAAAGCAGCATCGTGTAAAGCACTCTTAAGTGTAGATCAGAGTGTATCAAAAAATTTATTTTCGGAAAACTGACCTGAGTTAGACGATCCTCCTGATCTTTCGAAGAGGACGTGAATGCCGTCCTCATTAGCATAAATACTTTTAGTAAAACACATAATATTTTTAACGTTTTTAACATAGTAAGTTTTCTCCTCTTGTACATGTTTGTACTCGATTGGCTTTCAACTGGTGACCAACAGCTATTAAATACCATAGAATCTTCTCAATGATTTAAATATATTAATCAAATCAATATCCCTTCAATGTTTTTCGCAGAGTCGGATCTAGGCTAGAGCGAACGAAGCACTCGTTTCGGATGAAAGACATGAGGGGACATAGAAATGAACAGTAAATTGAATAATTTTTTAGAAAAAAGTATTTTTTATAAAAATGCGAAAATGATATTAACATCAACTTATGTAGCAGTTCAAGTACCTATATCAAACGTATGTTATTTTAACATGCATTTGTGCGTATGTGGAAAAAGCAGGCGTCCATTGCTAATAATGCCTCGGATGAGAAAATATCTCGATCCGGCTCTGATCATTCATATAGATTATAAATTATTAGCTGACGTTTGTTTCTCGCGCGCTCTGCGCACTCAATATGTAGTTGCGGATTTATGAGGATGAGCAAATAACAATTCAAATATAAATTCGAAAAACTCGAGTTCAGTTTTTGATTCAAGGAAATAATGAATAAATGCATCAATCGCGCGCGTAAAAGAAAACAATGTATAGATAATTAAGTCATAATTGAAAAGAATACTTATAATTATCAATTTGCATTTTTGACATGTAATTTGCGAATAACATTTTCCCTGAAAATTATTTATAATAATTATAAATTACATTTAAAATTTCACTTGATAAAATATTGTCCTCAACGGTAAATTAAAAAAATATATATAACATAATAAAATCTCTATATATTGTATATAAAGTTAATAACTTGAATTGTAATTTTATAAAAAAATGATTAAATGTAATGTTAACTGTATTTTAAAATGTGAGCAAAAGTAAATAAAAGCAATATTTCTTAACAGATATTATCTAGAATCGCAAGAATTCATTGCTCCATACAAAAATATATACACATAAAATGAATTACGATTGATTCATCTCTCCATGTCCAATAATATCCAACGAACTTATTATAAGTATCAAATCTTCTATGTTATTTCTGAAGGTTTTGATATTTTCGAGACAATTTGTAAAGTCTGGTCTACCAATTACAGATTTCCAACAATGTAGCATCAACTGATACAACATCGGTGGACAGTTGAGAGGTTTTGGCAGTTTGCCTCCCTCACGCACATATTCTATAACTTCGGAATAATTTTTGCCAGGATAAGGATGTTCACCCAATGACATAATTTCCCACATTAGTACTCCGAAAGCCCAAACATCGCTTTGTGAAGTAAATATTCCAAACACTAAAGATTCCGGTGCCATCCAGCGAACAGGAAGCGGGTGGCCTCCTTTCTAAAACACAATTATATAACACAATTAAGTTATTTTTATCGAACTTCCTTCAGAAGTTTAGAAACAAGCGTTATGCGTATACAATCAACTCTCATTTTCCCTTCTTCATAGGTATACAAATAAAAATAATTTATTTTTACCGTTATAATCAGCTTAAAATTGTATTATTATAAAAAAATAGAAAAAAAATTTTAGCTCTCTCAAATAATTGTATTTACCATACGGTAATAGTGATCCTTGTAAATATCTCTAGCTAGTCCAAAGTCGCCGATTTTCACAATACGGTTTTCATGATTTCTTACGGATATTAAGCAATTTCGACACGCGAGATCTCTATGCACAAATTGCTGCCTTTCTAAGTAACAACAGCCTCGAGCAACATCTTCGCACATGGCGAGCAAGTCTTTCAGACGTAACGCGCACGAATCTGACGATTGCAATGTTCCATTATTTCTTAAATAATTCAATAAGTCACCAGGTTCTATTAATTCCAATATAAGTAACGGTGAATTTGTGTCCAAACAAATACCTAATATTCTTAGCACATTTTCATGTCGAAAGTGGCTCATAAGTTTAGCCTCTTTCAAGAATTCCTTTTTCTCTGTCGAAGAAGTTTGTCTTTTCAGCATTTTTATCGCAACTGGTGTTGTGTCCAACTTTTCAAAATCTTTGATGATTCCTTGATATACCTGTGAAATATTACATAATTAACAGACAAATCGATAAAATGTATGCTAAAAATGTTTATCCTATTTGACTTTCTCAAAAAAATTTTAATTTTAACAATTACTTTTATTTAAAAATATGTTTGACCATGAATTTAGGCGAATAAAAAAAAAAAAAATATATTTAAGAATATACTTAAGTAATAAGAAATTAATACCTACAATACCAAATGCGCCGCTACCTAGAAACTTTGATTGGCTAATTTGATTTGTTGCGATTATGGCCAACGCAAATTTGTCTTGATTATATTGCAATCTAGGAGTGTTCAGCAAATTGAGTTAAACGTACTCGAAAGGTATTTCATTTAAAGATACTAATTCCGTATTGATCATTATTGGAGGCGAAACTATTTCGTTATTTCCTTTGCGTTGTTTGTATGCTGTCATATAAAAAAACTTTTAATACACGGCATAATGCTCCGCATTGCAATATTTTAATTCTTTTTAATTCTTTTTAATAATGTCGACTTTTACAGATTTTATATATACAAATATCTATATACCAAATCTGAAATAATTTATAATCCAAATCCGAAATTTATATCAAATATACTTACAACAATAAAAGTAGTAAACATTGTATATTACAATGATTACAATAAAACATAATATTAATGGCAGATAATATTGCAAAGCTGTCCCAGTTGCGCCAGGAATCTTTTATGCATCATCTTTGTTACACAAGAGTACAATTCTTCGTTTTATTGGATTTTTTACTTAAGATATTTTATCATAATATCTAAGAACTACATTACTTAAAATGAACACCAAAGAAGGGATGAAACGTAATAAAATTAATAAATTGCTAGTTGGTCGACATAAATTTCAAAAAAATAAAATGATGAACACTCTTCTCTCGACCAAACTGGCAAAGTTTTATTAATTCACTTTACAACGTTTCGACCATGATTTAAATTCTTAGCAAGTGATTTGCGAAATGTAGTTAAAATTTTAGGAAGTAAGCCAAGTAATGTCAAGGACATGATGTCAGCTTGACACAATGTACTCAATCGCTTACTTCTTAAAATTAAAACTACATTTCGCAAATCACTTGCTGAGGACTTAAATCATGGTTAAAACGTTATAAAGTGAATTAATATAATTTTGCCAGTTTGATCAGGTGTTCATTAATTTATTTTTAATTCTATTTGGCGATTCTTCATGCACATATTTATTAATTAATATTAAGACATTTTACTTAAAACTTCATTATTTAATTTCTAATGCGAAAAAACGTTTAAGATATTCTTAAAGTAAACACATGGTATTATATCGTCTTTATTTGCTTATCGAGCGTTTCAAAAATAAATTCTTCTCCATTAGACGGCCATATAAAATTTTTTCTATACTCAGTATATTTTAAGTTCAAACGAAATTTGTACTTAGTTTGCGGCAATAAATTTTCTATGTAATATGTTATTTTATCATTATTCTCTTCAATATTATTCGCAATTTCCCATATTCTCTTTTGTGACGCAGCATTTTTGTATTCCAGTATAAGGAATTCAGTAGGAATCGTCAGATTAACGCTTGGAATCCACGAGATATTCATACTGTTTGTACCGACCCCATTCAAACTTAAATTATTTGGTTCGGACATGTAAACTGTTTCTATTACACTGTCAGTGACGACATCTGTGCGAATGATTGGATACACACTCACGTATGTCTCGTATTTTTGCTTTGGTATCAGTGACGGAATTACCGCGAAAAACTTGCCATCTGTCGTACGTTCTAGCTTATTGAAGACTTTTATGAAGCAAACCGAATTGAGTGTGAGAACCGATATAATTGTAAAGTTTTATCAAGAGGTACGGTACGAGAGAAAATGCCCTCTCCAAAATGGATTTTTGGAAGACATTCATATAAATTTTTTTTGCTTTGGAAAAGAGCATTCCCCTTTCTTAAAATATGTATTTCTTGATAAGAAATTAAGTAAATATTTTTACTATCAATAGATAAATAACGATAATAATAAATTGATTGATTTCGAAGACTTAAAACTTTGCAATTACAACCATTAATATCCGTTACGATTAAATATTCATCGTTTATTATCCAATATATTAGCGGCTCGTCAATATTTGTTGTATCAATCGTCATGAGATTGTACTTAATTTGCAATCCTAGAAATGTGTTGAGGCAGAAGCATTTATTGTTTGTCATATATAATTTGTTTCTACCATTGAAATCCGTTTGCACTATTGAAGAATGTTCTGTCCAATAAAAATGTCTGAAAAATATTTATATTGCTCACTTTTATTAAAACATTATTATAATTATCTATCACATACTAATATGTGATTATTTATATCTTATACGTTTCTATGTAAATTTATGATTCCATTGCTTATGGATTTTCAATACAAAATCTGCATATTAAATTGGCAAGTTATAGAACAACACAAATCTTTAATTAAAAAAGACACAATATATTGTTCAATTTGTTAGATTAATTAAATTTAATGTACCTCTTATATGGCAATACTGTTAAAAATATATCAGACTTTGCAGCAAATGCGATTTTTTTGTATGTTTTGATGTCTTTTTGTTGTAGTAATATTAAGTCGAATTTTATAATGTAAATATGATCGTCAATATCATATTCTAACCAATAAAGACTGCCACGAATCCAATCAATGCACAGAGAATATGCATAGCCTCCCATTTCTGCTATTATTGTAAAATTTTGATTCGTTTCGATTGCGTTCGGATTAAATTCCAATGTTATTAACTTTGAGGCGTGAATAATCCCATAAATTTTATGTTCCAATGCTGAGTAAACGATGTCAGTACAGTATTTATATATATCACGTTCAAAGCCGATCTGTAAATCTATATCCAATACATAAAATTCACTTTTCTTTTTGACGAGTAATAAAGGTACTGGATTCTCATGTGTGGTCGACACATTGATAAACTTAGTATAAGTGCCAGCACCAAATTTGTTATGCGCTTGTACTTTGAAATAATACACTTCATCAGGTTTTAAATTGTACACTTTAAGTTGCAATATCGTGAAATTTGAGATTATAGCAACTCTTCTATGAATTATTTGATTCTCAAAAAACCAATATTGAACTGTATATTTTTGTATCACTCCATTTGTAAATTTAGGTTTGTTCCACCTATAAAGGATATAAAATATTATATCTTTTTATTTTTAACAAATTTCTGAAATCCATTTACATATAATTATCTATTTACACGAGACATATAGAATAGTTTCATTTAGAAAATCGGGTTGACCTTGAAATAATCTTAAAAACGTTATCTAAAATGAAACTAATAAAGCAAGTAAAAATTCCTTTAAAATCCTACAACTTTTATTTAGAACATTTTTTTCATAAAGTATATGTAATATTTTCGAGATTTTTCGCCGTTCTGATTTTTTTTGTACCACCTCCCATATACAGGGTATTTCATATGTAGTGGCAAAATTTCAGGAATGGATTTCTCATACTTAGAGACGACAAAAGTTATACACACATAGGTCTGGAAATGATTAGTTTTGAGTTTTAAGATTTTTGTAACAAAAAATTTTTGTCTCATTTCTCGTCTTAAAAGTCCTCATTTAAAGGTATCAACGATGTTTTTCAAGTCCGCCGGTCTATGTTTACAGACATGGTGGACATTTAAAACATTTCCTCTAATTGTAAGACGAGAAATGGGACAAAAATTTTGTATTACATAAATCTAAATAACTAAAAAACTAATCTTTTTCGGACCTATGTTCATACATATCTATACCTTTTTTTCTTCTCTATCAGCATAAGGAATCCATTCTTCAAATTTTGAGCACCGCTTAAAAGAAACCCCTGTATATACACTGTATGTACACATTGTATTGTATATAAAATAAAACTTAAAACACTGCAAAGTACCAGATTTAAGAACGCAAGTATTCATTATTTACCTGAATGTCACAATAATGTCTTTCTGATTTAGTCTGTCGTTAAATTCCACAAATGCTCTAGGACATGTTGGCTCGCTTGGAATGCTTTCTGAAGATGGTGTAGATTCTCCTTGAAGCAAAATGTATACTCAATTATATGTAAGGGTCCAGTATGTATGTAATTCGTTCTAGTTCATAAAATCATGCATAGAAAATGTAAATGCGGTATCTCATAATCGGTACCTTTACCTTATATATATATATATATATATATATATATATATATATATATTGACATACATGGTCTGTCAAAAAAGGAATGAAATTAAATAAATACCGCATATTATGGCAACGTTGTAAAAATCATAATCATATGCGGAATGTAAAATATCATCTTTCCTTCAAAAACTACAAGTTTTAATTCATTCAGCTGTATTTATATATGTCTAATTATAACATTTTTTGTAAGTATAAACCTCTCCTCGTTATTGTTTTCATGAATCGTTATTCAGAGAAAAATATTAAACAAATATAAGCGATAAAAGTTAATAATTAGTACTTATATTTTAACGCATGCTTAGATTATATTATTTCATAATAAATTTTGATGATTTGAAATAAATGTACATACACAACATTTTATATACATTTATATGCATATTTTTTAAAACTTATTAGATTTTGAAATATTTACAAATAGGAGCTTTTAAAAATACTTATACTTTACAAATGAACTCTTACCGACTTCATTTCTTACTCTCACAGTGTCGTTTTCAAAATAATACTGAACAGATTCGAGATTTGATGACACGTACTCATGGACATCGATGAATCTGAAGGATGGGTTATCCTAGTAATAAATATGCATCATATAACTTATAAAAATCTACTATTCCATTGAATCACATGATGAACAGTACATAATGTGAGATTAGATTAAAACTTATTTCGCAAATAATTTAATAAATAAGTCGTTGGAGTAATAAATGCAAAATTCCAAATAGTAAAATTAATGTATATGTGATAGAAATCCCAACTTTCAAATTAATGTTCAATTTTATTACAAATAGAAATGGCCCTTCTTTTGCTTTTGCAGATAATCAAATAATTAAAATAAGTCATTAAGTCATTTGGATCAAGTAACTATCACTTATTCAAAAAGATGACTGTTTTCGATATTTTTATAATTACATAAATGACATGCATTGAGCTAAGTTAAATTATTATAAAATAGAACTAGAAAGAAATATATAACATACTGTGTAAAACACCGTTTAAAGAAATTGTTCTTATTGTGTTTCTGATCAAAATATCTTTTTAAAAACCAAAAATTTTTTTGCATTAAAAAGAAAGTTGCAAAAAAAAACGCACGATTAGATGAATAAAAGTTATGAAGAATTTATATATACTACTGTGGGCAAAAAATACCGGGAATTTGTTTATAAATCAAAAAATCTTTATTTATTCTTCTAAATTCATTTCATCTCTCTCAAAGTAGTCCCTCCCGGATGCAATACATTTGTGCCAACGTTTTTTCCAATTTTCAAAACATGCTGCAAAGTCCTTTTCCGGTATAGCCTTTAATTCCTTCTTCGTTTCGGTTTCTATCTCTTCTATCAATTCAAAACGGTGTCCACGGAGCGGTCTCTTAGTTTAGCGAATAGCCAGAAGTCACATGGTGCTAAGTCAGGCGAATACGATGATTGCGGAACGATATGGGTCGAGTTTGTGGCAAAATAATCACGAATTACGAGTGCAGTGTGAGATGGTGCATTATCGTGATGCAAAACCCAAAAATTGTCTCTCCACAAATCCGGTTTTTTTTGACGCACAGCATTACGCAAACGACGCATAACACCCAAATAGTATTCTTTGTTGACAGTTTGGCCGGTTGGCAGGAATTCATAATGCACCACACCACCACACCATTTAAATTCAAATTTTCCGGTATTTTTTGCCCACAGTAGTATATATATATATACAATATATTTATATATAGGGTGTTCGGTAACTAACGGACCAATGATTAAAGGCGGATTCTCTGGCCAATTTGGAGACGATTTTTCCTTAGCAAAAATGTTGAGAAGTCAATAATTTTCGAGTTATAAGCGATTGAAAACAATGGGTTGTTTGAAAACTAAACGTTTTGAAGTTAAAAGTCTAACATAATTATATTTTTCAGTTAATTTCAGGTAGAGTTTACTATAATAAAATTTTAATTTCAGGCTTAGTTATAAAGATACATATTGACAAATATTGGAAAGTTGTAAAAAATTATGACCTTTTTCGACATTTTCGCTGAGGAAAAATCGTTCCCAAATTGACCAAAGAATCCCTTTGTAATTGTTGGTCCGTTAGTTACCGGACACTTTGTATATATATAACTGTGAGTCTTACAAGCCCGGTTCTCTTTAATTGTTAAAACAATTTTGTCTAATAATTTAGTTTTTATATTAATTTCATGTACACATATGTGTTAACGTATACTTTAAATGATAAATTGTATATCAACTTGAACATATAAAAAACAATAGCTGCTGTGTATATTATTGGCCTTGAAACTGTTTGATTGAGAACGCAATTTATTGTACCGAACTCCTATTTCAATATTTAGTAGTTTTCTACGCATGCAATTTATCCTGAAAAGTCCTAATTTTTTATATTGATTACTTTAAATAATAAATAACTTACTTAAAAATTTTACACCAAAATTAATAAATATAAATATTTGAGAAAAGTTTTAGACATCACAAGAGAATAATATGAGAATGTGTGTATAAAAAATATGATATACATACATGTATGTTTATCATGTAACAGAAGATATATGGAATGAATAACAAAATCATTAATATTAACAATTCGTAACAAAACAATTTTATCAACATATGTTGCGTTTAAGTTTAAATATTCATTACAATTAAATTTAAATGTGTAACAATATAACATCAATCTTTAAATATATGACGTAAAATTAAACTTTACTTTTTTTATATCATTAATTTTACATAAATAGTGACATGCAAGATTAATATCACAAACAATCCATTGTCTGTAGTATATATAACATTTAATTTAATCACGACGTCTAATATTAATAATAAAATAATTAACGCTCTCGTCAAGCGAACTAACTGAGCGACTAGCAGCAGCATCAAAAAACGCTCCGTGTAAAGATGATAGCGAATAAATAACCAGGCAAATAGCAAATAATTCGGCATCCTGCGCATATGCGAGAAAAATTTTTGCTAAAACGCTTGCGACTTTATTTTTCTTTATCAACAACGTATAAATGATTTGACGGTAACGACTTCGTCTCAGCCAGAAATTCGTTTTGAATCAAAAATGAAAAGCTAGCAATAAAAAGAATAAAAAACGAACATCTAGAAAAAGTTTCTATCAGCGAATTCGCTGATAAATTAAAAAACTTACTCAAAGCAAATAAAAACAGCATCGTGTAAAGCACTCTTTAAGTGTAGATCAGAGTGTATAAAAAAATAAATTTTTGGCAAACTGACCTGAGTTAGACAATCTTCCTGATCCTTCGAAGAGGACGTGAATGCCGTCCTCATTAGCATAAATATTTTTAGTAAAACACATAAAATTTTTAACGTTTTTAACATAGTAAGTTTTCTCCTCTTATAGATGTTTGCACTCTATTGGCTTTTATTCTTGACTGGTGACCAACCGCTATTAAATACCATAGAATCTTCTCAATGATTTAAATATATTAATCAATTCAATATCCCTTCAATGTTTCTTGCAGAGTCAAATCTAGATCGCGCGAAGCACTCGTCTCGGATGAAAGACATGAGAGGGCATAGAAATGAACAATAGATTGAACAATTTTTTTAAAAAAGTTTTTTTATAAAAATGCAAAAATGATATTAATATGTAGCAAACATTAGACGCCGCGAATTAAAGAAGAAATTTGCTCAAAGTGAATAAAAGCAGCATCGTGTAAAGTACACTTTAAGTGTAGATCAGAATGTATAAAAAAATGAATTTTCGGGAAATTGACCTGAGTTATACAATCTTCCTGTCCTTCGAAGAGGACGTGAGAGCCGTCCTCATTAGCATAAATACTTTTAGTAAAACACTTAATATTTTTATCGTTTTTACCATAGTAAGTTTTCTCCTCTTATACATGTTTGCACTCAATTAGCTTTCATTCTTGACTGGTGACCAACCGCTATTAAATACCATAGAATCTTCTCAATGATTTAAATATATTAATCAATTCAATATTTCTTGCAGAGTCGAATCTAGATCGCGCGAAGCACTCGTCTCGGATGAAAGACATGAGAGGGCATAAAAATAAACAATAAATTGAACAATTTTTTAAAAAAGTTTTTTTATAAAAATGCGAAAATGATATTAATATGTAGCAATTCAAGTACCTACCAAGCTTATGTTATTTTGACATGCATTTGTGCATATGTAGAAAAAAGGGGCGTCAATTGCTAATAGTGCCTCGGATGAGAAAATATCTAGATCCGGCTTTGATCATTTGTATAGATTATAAATTATTAGCTGACACTTGTTTCTCGCGTGCTTTGTGCGCTCGGTATATAGTTGCGGATTTATGAGGATGCGCAAATAACAATTGGAATTTAAATTCGAAAGACTCGGGTTCAGTTTTTGATTCAACGACTTTCGGATCATTATTTTTTTCGTCTTTTTTTCTACAAATGATTAGGGAGAAATAAGCGAATTCTCGGTGTAATCAACGTCATCCGCGTTTAGCTCTTATAGCTTATTTATTCTTAATATACTTTCATTTTTAGTATGTTAAAGCTTGTATGTTTTTATTTATTTAGAGTTTGCACATTATTTTTTATACTATTAATATACTTTTAAACTTGAACTAATAATCTACATATGTTAGTTTTTTAAAGATTTTGCTTGTATTTTTAATGTTTTCTCAAATTTAACTTTTATGTTTTTTATGTGTTTTCTTTATTTTATCATGATTTGCTTTACATTTTTATATTTTTACGCGACAAGGGGGCAAGTAGATTTTAAGCCGATGTTCTATACTTACTTACTTGTTTATACTTTTATCTATATCTATACTAATATACATATAAAGAAGTAAAGTTTGTTTGTTCCATTGTGTGGGATAATCTGAGAAACTAATAAATTTTTTACTGGTGTATATCCTTCTGAGTAACATAGCTTATGTACAATCGTCTTACAACTTCTAAAAATGTGCGCGTTGTACAAAAAATGCGTTCTTTGCTCTTTATATTTTTCAATAATTTAATAATTTAGCGTAAAAACTACACGACCGATTTTGATAAAATCTTCACCAGTACATTTGTATGAATATAGTATGAATTATTTACGCTGCAACGTTAAATTATAAAATTGTTGGAAAAATATAAAGCGTAAAGAACGTAAAGAATTTTGTTGTACAATACGCGCACATTTTTAGAAGTTTGCAAGACGATTCCATATAGCCTATGTTACTCAGGAAGATCTAAGTTATTCACCTGTAAAAGATTTTTTCTAATCGGTTGAGTATAGTTTCTGAGATTACCTCAAACAATGAAACAAACAAACTTGACCTCTTTATATATTATTAGTATGGATTAAATAAAGTTTTCTTAGATATTACACGTCATATGCAATTTTTTTCTTTTTAATGATATTTATTAAAGTATATTTAATATGATTAAAAGTAAATACATAATTATATGTATATTCTAATAACGCAATAATCATTAAAATTATTTCATTTGCGATGATATACATATGTAAGAAATATGGACAACAATATAATCCTCTACAATTTCTAAAACAATTACAATTGAGCTTTACATTTTACTATGTAAAAATACTTTACCCTAAAAATTATAATTATATACTTTATTAGATATTATTAATATTTATTCAAATTTATTTTGGATTTTATAAATATTTATCACTGTTGTTATTATATAATTATACTTTATATTAATTACAATTATATGTAATATTTTATATTTATGTTATTATTAATGTATAGAAACACAATTATTATGTAAAAATAAATATATACTTATTTTACTGATTTTACTTAATTCTTCAGTCGCAGATAATAAGAAAAGCGGGTTATCCCACGGAAACTCACATTGTAACGACAGAAGATGGCTATCTTTTGACGTTACATCGTATTCCGGGTGGCAACGGCTTTCTATCTGTATTACTGATAAATGATATTTTTTGCACTTCTGTTGTTTGGGTCACTCTTGGCAAAGACAAAGCACTCGGTACGACTTTTTAATCAATTAAGAAACATTTTAGTATCGTTGATTTCACTTTTATTGGAAAGAGATCTAAAAAAAACTATAATTTAAATGTCAAAAGAGCATTTTAATGCACTATTAATTGTAATAAACAGTTGTAATAAACAATTGTAATAAACATTGTAATGCATTTTAGTTTTTGAAAATTTTATAAATTAAAAATTTGACTTTCCAAAATTACATAAATTTTGAAATTACTGTATATATGATATATTTAGAAATATATTTTTTTAACTTATCTGATTAATGAATGAATTATAAATCAAATCACGCTCTTAATTCGTTATAAAAATATGTGCACACAAAAATATGATTAAATATATGAATAAAATATTAGATGAAAAAGTACTAGTAAAATATTATAAACAATGTTATTTTTTTACAATTTAGCTTACCTATTAGCAGATCAAGGATATGATGTTTGATTGGGCAATTTTCCTGGTACTGCGTATTCAAGAGCGCATATTTTCCTATCACCGTCAGAATGGAAATTTTGGGATTACAGGTATTTTCGTAAAATAAAAATAACGATGCTTTGTAAATGACTTACAAGGGAACGGTCGAAAGTGACCCTTACCGATTTTAATGAACTTGGAATATGTTTTAGAGCATTGAAAAATATTACACCCGTATTTTTTTTTAGCTGCGTATCTCGACATTTAGGAGGTAAATTATCCTCTTGTGTGAAAAAATCGTTTTTTTTTTAATTTTTTAGCCAATACTGTCGAAATGGTAAAAGATATAAGAAAATGTTTTAAATAAAAATTTGATGGTTTATAATATTTTTTAAAACAATGTAATCAAATTTTTCAAAAATGTCAAATTCCCCCCTCTCTCTTTATACTGCACTGTTTTAAAGAATATTAAAATCCATATAACTTTTATTTGAAACATTTTTTTTCACCTTATATCGTTATATCTTATACCGAAATAAAAAAAACAATTTTTTTCAAGGAGGGTTGTTTTACCCTCTAAATGTCAAGATACACAGTTAAAAAAAATACGGGTTTAATATTTTTCAATGCTTCAAAACATATTCCAAGTTCATTAAAATCAGTGAGGGTCTTCCAATCGTTCCCTTGTTAGTTTTAACAATATTAGTTCAGTCAGTAATATTGAATTTTTCATTAGCTTTCATGAAATAGGCGTCTACGATTTACCTGCGATGATTACACTTATTACAAATATGAGATCACAACCATTGCACGCGTACATTGGTCATTCTATGGGCGAATCTGTTTTTTACGTAATGGCAACAGAGCGTCCAAAAATTGCTAGAATGGTAAAAATGATGTTCAGTTTTGGACCAGGAATTTTCTTACATTATATGAGAGGTCCACTACGATAGATGTTTTATTTGGTGAAAAAGATGCAGGTAATAATATGTAAATATAATATACTACTTTGAGCTAGAATAAAATTAAGTAAATTGCATTTTGAATAGAAGATATCTTTAATTGCAGCCAATATTTCGAGTTCTGTTCCATGACAAATTACTTACACGAAAAATTTTTAAAACGGCAATGGCATTAATCGGCTGCAACTCAAATTTCCTTCTATCGAAGATGTGCGCTATTTTCATATTTTCAGTCTTCGGTTACGACCGTGAGCAGTTTACTTACGTGAGTAATAACTGAGTAAGTATTCGTCTGCGAAATATAATAATAAATTTAAAAGGTTCTGATATGCGAATACAAAATCATATCAAACAATTTTAAACCGTTGAACGAGAATATATCACAGATAAAAAATTAAGGAAACGTTTTGAAGCTTTATCTTTTATTGTGTGTATACACTCACACACACTCACATATATATATATATATATTATTTTTTTTTTAATTTGTTGTTTAGACTCAGCTGCCTGTAATCGTGAGTCACATACTTGTCAGTCTTTCGACTAAGACAGTGGCGCACATAACGCAAGAAATCCAATCGGGCAAGTTTCATCGATACGACTACGGTGCCACGAAAAATCTCTTAATCTATTCGATAGAACCTCCGGATTATGATTTATCGAATGTTACGGTGCCGATCGTGATATTCTATGCCAACAACGACTTCCTGGTCGATCCCATTGTAAGTAATATATGTACAAGTATTATAATTTCGTTGTAAAAAATATGCATTGATAAAACGAGAATTATTACATAATAAGTTAAAATATAAAATTGAGAAGTTGAAAGAATTATTAATTAGTTTGGAAGAATAATATAAGTAGTTATTAAAAGAATTAATTTAATTATATAAAAAAAATTTGCATAATAACTTAAAAAATATTTCTTTAAGAATGTGAAGAGGTTGTATAATTTACTGCCCAACGTAATAGATTTGTACAATGTGCCGCGGCCCAGTTTTAATCACGTGGGCTTTATATGAACCGAGGATGCACCTATACTTGTGTACAAAAGAGTTTTTAAAATCATGAAAGGGAAATATTTAAATAATGTAACAACGATATGATAATAGGTACATTGCGCTGATTTGGATTATGGAAGTTAAATAAATAAATAAATAAATAAATAAATAAT